CCAGCTCTATCGGAAGTATTGCGGCCGAGAAAGTGAGGTGATTTTTAGCCGTTGCGACCCAGATATTTTCTTGAAGCAAGTATTTGGGAATTTGAAGTTTATGACAATTTTTACTCTACTCATCGAGATCTTTCTATCCAGAAAATTTCAAATATTTTTGATGAGCTATTCTTGAGAAACTCTGCCCGTAAAGGAGTCACTTTAAGGTCCGTTCTCATTTCCTGTCAAAAATCTATTTTTACCTCAGAATAATCGATCTGGCTGAAAATTTCAAGGAATGTGTGTTCGGTTCTAAACGGTTTACAATAAAAATTTCAGTCCAAAATATTACGCTATTCATGAGTTATAACAACATCAAGAATCGAAAAGTAAGTTTTCATGGGACACGAATTTCTCCTTCAAATCTAATGATACAAATTGATTTAAAAATGCAACCGTCAAAATCGAGTTTTTTTGACGAAAATCATGTTTTCTGATGGGGATGGGCGTAAGGGAACGTTCTATTGCGAAAAGAAGCGGTTTTGTGTAAACAACTATTTCTCGCTCGAATGTAAGACTTCTGTCGATTAGTTTTATGGATGAGTAATCCTTTAGAATGTTATTGACTTCAATGGGGTGTAGATTTAATGCTCTCTTCCATTAAGATATTATTTTTCAAGGGCAGCACAGCAAATACAACAGAAAAATCGTAAGATCGAAATTAAACGTAGAGAACTTTAAAAAGAAAAGAACCTATTGTCAAAATACACAAAGAATATTATTCAAGAATAATGAAGTTAATTGAAAGTAATCAGAGATGTGACTGCTTCCCAACCAAGAAAACTTTTTGTTTTTTGTAGTGAAGCCAAAAATGTAGAAAACGAATCTTTACATCCTCCCAATGTTGGCTGCTTCTCGGTCGAGCTCTGAAAGTAATATCTCAATGGACTGTCACTCTTCGTAACCAATAAAAAAAAACAATAATCTCTGATTTTTCTCGTTCTTTGCCTGTCGTTTGTTCATAATACAATCTCTCATGTGATAACAGTCACTGTATAGCATTCGAAGTCCGTTCGATACTATCGTAGGACAAGCTAAAACTAGAAAATCTTCCATTTTTTCCTATATACTAGTAATCCAACCATTTATAATAGTTCTTAGAAATTATGCAAATAGCATAGCATCATAAGAATTTGTTGAAAAACGAACAAATATCTCTCAGGTATTCTTATGAAATTTCATCGGATCGATGTTGGTTATTAATCTGAAACTGATCGAACACTTTTACGTCTATTCTATAGATATGTAAATATAAAAAGTAAAGATTCAATGCTTTTTTTTCTTTCTTGTTTTCTAAATAAATCGATGCATTTATTTAAGATATCACAGTATTTTGTTTTACAATCAATTCAACCGACGAGGTCGATATGCACTTTAAAAGACAATGTAATAGACTAAGAGACAGAAAAATATTCAAATAAATAAAAACAACTTGAAATGTTTCCTTTCGGTTTTTGTTTTTTACTAAAAATTGATACTAACATGCTAGTAAACTTCAAATAATTATAATAACTTCAAAAGTGTGATATGGCTCCTACAATGAACTTTAAACAAGAAACTACATTAGGAATCAATTTTTATTCTAAAGAGGCTTTGTCCATTATCAAAAATATTATAATAACAAGAACAAATCCTTGATGAATGTTTGTTTTTTCTTTCTTACTTTTTGTTGTTGTTCTTCAAAATATCTCATTTGTTGTATTTCAATTGATTGTTCACGTCGACGTTTCATATATAATTCATGATTACCAGTTGCTAAATCAAGTATCTAAATTAATAAAATATTCAAATTTAAAAGACAAAACAAAATATAAATATTTTTGTTTTTTTATCTACCTCTTTGCTTACAGATGATTTACCAGAATAAAATGCAAATGTTGCATTTTTATCACCGGTCATATTTAATATAACCTTTGAAAATAATAAAAAATAATAAAAAAAAAAACGAAAATTATCATTCTTTGAATACTTTTTTATCATGAGCTGTAACTGATTTAATATCAGACCATGAAAAGAAAACTTCTGGTCTTAATTTATTTTTTTTATAAAAACGAATTCCTAATGAATCAATTCCAAGCCAAAGTTCAGTAGCAATAGATGATTGATCGGATTGTTGTTGTTGTGATGATAAATTTGATTTATTTCCACCTTGCATTTTTGATATTTCAAAAAATGATAAACCAAACATATCTAAATCTTGTGCATGTTTTAAATAAGCCATTTCAGATTCTTCTCGTGCTAATGATGCATGTGTACGCCACAAAGCTATTATACGATCAAACCAATCCGAACGAGATAATTCAACTTTTTGAAAACAAGATAATGGTAATAAAGCTTCACTTTCTAAATTTAATGATTCTGATGATGAAGTTATTTGATCATAATCACCAAACTAAAGAAATAAAACATTTTTTTTTTGTGTATTATTGTATAATTTTATTGAATAGAAATATTAATTACTTTTGCTTGAAGAGCAAGTGATGCAAGATGAGCAGCTGTATCGGGTGGACAATAAATATCCATATTAAGAATATCTTGTTTAACTTGAAGATAAAAAAGATGTCGAGTTATATCTTGTATAAGTTCATTAGTAATTTCTTCGGGATAAAATTTCACAACAAAATATAATTCTAATATATTTATAGATTGTTGACCACCACTAGCTGATGATGATGATAATGGCAAACTTAATGTTGATGTTGATGGTGATGTTGGTGGAGAACGAAGAAGATGAGGTTTTAAATTGTCTGTTGAATTTGGTGATTCAGGTCTTTTAGATGAAATTATACTCGATTGAATTTGTATTGGTTGAGAAAGTATCTAAAAGATTAATGATTGTATATCATATAGAAGAAATAAAAATTAAATACTGTTCTATTCATTTGTAACCATGTCCATTCATTAGAAATTTTATCAAGAAATTTTAGACCAAAATACCAATGTTCTCTTAGACCAATTGTTTGACAAACAAGAGAAAATAATGTATGTCCTTTTACTGTGCCCTAAAAAAAACGCATATTTTTATTATCAAACATAATATCAATCAATATTATTGCTCACCTCAATAGTAAACTGTAATTCAGCATCCATAGTGAATACTTTACAACAATATTCATCAGTTTTTTTCTTACTACTACTAAAGACAGGCATTTTTAAATAGAAGGCACTGCTATGTCTACTCTTATATCTAAAAGAAGAATAACAAAATCAATTGGCAACCATATTTATTACAGTTTTTCTTGTTAATATTTGTTTTTTTCTATCTTTTAAGCTGATATTACCTGAATAATAATTAATGATTTGATTTAGTTATATATTTAGAACACCCTTTAGCTACAGTTTCTTATATATTTATGAATGTATATATATATATATATATATATATCCCGCTCTTATTTTTTTCTCATTGCCGAAAAACAGCAATGACAAGGGCGCGTGTTTGACATTATCGACAAGAAATACATAAAAGAGGAACAGAACCAATCGTTCTTTTTTTCTTCTTATTTTTTTTCCTGCTACGCAAGAAACCACATGCCATGCATACCTTTGTTCCCCTTATTTCTTTTGCTTTCTCTTTATTTTCTTATGTCTGTCATAGTTAAGTATAGACTTGTCGTAAATTAATATTGATGCGTTTGTCATGAATATAACTCCAACAAACTTTATCATTATCGTCATCAATATTCTTATATAAAATATCATTTAAAAATGGATCCGAAAGTATGCGAGGAATTGCATGAAAACAAAGACGACTTGTTCCTGTCATAATAATAATATCACCAGAATGAAGAAGCATTGGTGATGGTTGACATTCAGTTTTTGTTTGACCACCAATAAGAAATATAGCTGAATTACCAAATGATATTGATAGAAGAGGTTTTGTTAATGCATCATATTCTGAATGATCTGTATGTGCACATAATGTTGAATTTAAATGATAATAATTAATAATAACAGCTTCAGGATATATCATTGGACAATCTAAATAAATGATTCATCTTGACTCTATTATAAATAAAATATATATTTTATTGTACTTGTATTCGAAGAAATAACTTGTGCAATTGTTTGAGATAATTGTACAAGTTCATCTGGTATGTTTGTATGATCATCTTGTTTATAAATTTTATTTGTCCAATCATAATGATAACCAAGTGTAGCCCAACGTATACGAGTTAAATTTTGATTATCACTATTATCACCAACACTTGTTCGAGTTTGTCGAGCATAATTATTCAAACATCGATTAATCCATTGACGTTGTCCATTTAATGTAAATGGATTTGAAAGAAAATAGAGACCATTTGAAAATTTACATGAATAAAGAGACCATGTTGATATAGGTTGTAAACCTAATGATGAATCAACATCGATTGAAATATTTAATGGACATTGTTGAAAAAGTGTTGGATGAGTTGTTATTGAATATGCTTGAATTAAACAATCTTTATCAGAAAGATGACGAAAATGTTTAAATACAGGTGTAAAAAGATCAAGATTTTCGGATGATGCACTCATAATGGTTTTATTGTAAATTTCTTCTTCTTTTCGTTTCTATACTGTTATTGTAAGCATGATTAATCATGATATGTATGATTAGTTCAGTAGATTGAACGAATTAGAGTTGGATAGATTATGGATAAATGTTATATTAGAAAAAAAAATGTAAATCAATGGAGAAAATTATTATCAAGGAAAAAATTTCGAAAAATTGAATTATTTATATCAAGACAAGTCTGCCCTCTATTGATATTACGAGCATAAACAAGCGTTACGGAATTTCCTTCTACTTTTTTTTTTTACATCGTAATATCTATTTCTTGTCACTAGCAAAAGTAAATTCTTCGAAAGTTGTTCAGTTTTTAACAAGCATAATTGTATCGAATAATAAACTAAAAATAGTTTTCGTTACGGAATTTCATTCTTTTACAAAAAAAAAAAAGTCGCTTTTGTAAATCAGGATGAAAGAAAAAAAAACGTTAAAATTAATCACAAATTCGTTACCAGCATCGAATCCTGCAGCAAATGTTAGAATTCAACGAACAAAATATTTCAACTTTTTTCTACCTAAGAAAAATAAAAGTTGAAATTTTGATTAATTAAATATTTCATTTTTGTTCAGAATTCGATGCTAATTGTCAAATATGTGCATATTTATGAACAAAAAAAAAACCAGTACAAAACACTTAAAATGATCTAAAAATATCGCAAAATTCAGATATTAATGAAATACTGTAATGTAGTATTTCTAGAAAACGGATACGAATATTAGATTAAAATGTGTTCGCTGGAGTTTGATGAATTCTATTTGCACTACGTCATTTTTGTTGCAACATAAGTGAGCAAAAAACACTATAATCGAATTTCATCAAAAATAGAGATAGTTTTTGAATACATTATCTTCAATTCGTAAGCATCCAACATTTTTACGAAGACCATATGTTGAAACAGCACTTCGTAATCGATGAAGAATTTGTTTTTCCTGTTGATAGGAATGTCCAGAGTACTCCATGCTTCTCAGAAATAGAAACACCTCCATTTCAAATGTTACCGAAGTCAACATATGATTGAAGAAATACAATCTCATTCTGACTATCTTATAACAATCTTATTTGAAGATACTCGAAATATTGCAATTTTTCTCTTATTAGAAAAGATCTTTTTATAAAAATCCACTTAAATCGACAATATTAAAATACTTAATCAAAAAAATTTCAAAATAAAATGACACAAATAAAATAATAAATAAAAATGAAAATGACTTAAAACGATCATCCATATAAAAGTCCTATTAGACATATATATATATATAGAATGTAATCCTTTACAAACTTCTATTCCATTTAATTTAAAACACTGAGAATAAAAACCTTGTAAATTAAATTATATGATTCAGTGAATGACAATATTTAATTAAAATGCATGCATAATATAAATAGAGAAGAAAAAAAAAGAGAATTCAAAAATCAAATTTCTTTTTAAGTTATCCTATAAACTTTATCGAGAAGATCGTGCATTTTATATATGTCATTTAAGAAATTCAATAGTTCTTAAATTAGCAATAAAATATGCAACTGAATCACGACAATCAACATTACAATTACTTATTGTTCTTCTTAATCAACATCATCAATATCTGAAGAAATAAAATAAACTCGATTAAAAGTAGCAACCACATTCATTTAATTGAAAAGTCTAAATTGAAAAAAAAAAGCTTTGACAGATTGTAAGAATGAAATATTATTAGCAATTGAATTAAGTTCGATTTTTTTTTTAGTTTACAATTATTATTGTTTATTTCTCCAGAGTGATGTTAATAGTGAAATGATAAATAATTCATTAAATATATAAAAAAGAAAACCAACAAACGAAAAACTATTAATGAAGAACTCGAAATAAACTATAAAAATTTCTTTCTAATTATAGTTATATGTTTTATATTCAGATGATAAAAAAAAATAATTGATAACTATTGACAGAGTCTTATAAAACAATTACATATTCATTTCCCTTTGAAAATTCTCTATCGAAAGATTTATAAATTTAGCAGAAACAATAAATCTTACTGAAAACCATCTTCTTATTGATCGTCGTTGAGCTGAAGCTTGCCTACTTCTCATTATTTTATCATGAACAATATTAATGTAGTTTTAGCAAAAGATATGGATAAAGCTAAACAGTTAGTCATTTGAATGAATAGTCATCCTGATGCTTCCTGTATTCTCGATACGAATACATGGCTGCAATAGAACAGAACTATAGACTTTGTTCTGTCATTAAAAGTTGATATTATCGTCCAAACATATGAAAATGTTACAAGAAATGATTACAAGACTCTACTTTGTAAACTGGCATGTAAACGACATTATAAACCGACGTAGACTATCTTTTCTCTTTTCCTCACATACATGTTCAACTTTTGATCGAAAAAAAAAACGGAGTGATGAACATTTGATTACTTTTTGATCACTTCTCACAATTCCGATATAAGTCTTTCTTTCCACTCAAAAACGTACTTTTTTTCTTTCAAATAAAACGAAAAGACGACGTTATTCTCCTTTCGAATATTTTATGAAAAAAAATAATGTTGCAAAATTTTAGTCAAACTCAATAATGACAAGAGTTTTCCATATTCCTCGAATAATATTAACTGACGAGGAAACTTCTTCATCTACTTTTTTCCCTTCCGATTTCAATGATTTTCTTTTTTTGCTTATAGATACTACATAGTGTTCCAATAGAAATTCAAAAAGGATTTGGATTCCTATCGATATTCGACTTAGCTATCAGATTTTTAATATGTCTATTTTCTAGAAGGCTCAAATTTTCAGAAAACTCATCTTTTCGAATTTCATTCTGAAACTTTGCACATGTATAGAACTCAACTAGACTCACTTTCATAAAAAAAATTCAGACGTTTCAAACAAAGTCTCTTTGAGATATGAAGCTTTCAAAAAACCACATGTTGTATACCCTATCTAAGGAAAAGGATCTATATCTTGAAGAGATTTTGCTCAAAACTTTTGAATTTCTTTTTTATGGAAACTAGTTTAGTTGAGTTCTCTATATGCACAAAGGTTCAGATCAAAATTCGATAGGTTAGTTCAAATCTCAATAGGAATCGAAATTTTTTTGAAGTTTTTATTAGAACACTATGTGGTATCAATGGTCAAAAAAAAATCATTGAAATAGACAGGAGACAGTTGAAGAGGTTCTCTTGTGAGTTCTTGAAGTTAATTCATACATTCATTTAGTCTAAAAATCCGAAAATCATTGGTAGAAACATTTTGAAAAAATATAAATTTGTTTGCAAAGCACTACATATTTTGCATAAATTTTATGTATGTCAAATCACTCAATAAATATCTAGAATATATAATATTTCAACATTGAGACACCAGAACACTTGAAAAACTAAATCAAACTCGAACACTTATGTTTATCATGTGTAGAGATCAACGAAAAAAACCTTATCTGATTCCCTTTAAAAAAAAAACTCTCGCTATAACAAATCCTAATGATAAGAAATTGAAATCAATATTCAATATACTAACGAATAATAAATTTCAAGACTATGTGCCAATTATATCAAAATAATCCATTCGGCATAAGTTTGAAATCATATCCTTTTGTTTTTTTTTGTTGTTGTATATTTTAACACAACATCACTCTTGATCTTTCTCACACATTCTCATGCTATCTATTTCCTCCTTAGAAAAATAAAAAATAAAATAAGAATATTGTCGGCAATTGTTCAACATTTTTAGAAGAATAAGCATTATATTGATAAACGTAACTTCTATAAAAATAAGACAGCGGAACCGGAACAGACTTTAATTCAAAGGGATCGTATATATATATATATGCGTATACGTGTGCTTAAACGAGTGTGTCATCGGTTATATTTCAATTGAAATATATATATATATATATTTATTGTGTATTTGACACTGAAAGAAAGCGATGATACTCTTTTTCTGTCTGTCTCTCTCACCTAATCGTGAATAACAGAAAAAAATCACATACGAATGTCAATTTTTTGTTTGATTTATACGTATACAAGATCATCAACATATGTCGATAGAAGTACACAAGTGACACAGTGATTGAGATGCAAATATAATATGGATGCGCTTGCCTCAATATTACACACCATAGGGACATTGTGCATGAAGAAGTAACATTTTCATTATAGACTCATCGTAAAGACAACATTCACAAGAGAAAAAAAAAAGTAGATGCAGTTGATCCAACCATCTGGTCTCCCTTTTGATTAACTATACTCACAGTAAATCCTATTCATTGTCATCAGATCAGAGAGAAAGAAGCCGCAATCATTGAATCCTTCCTTTTTTTCTTCTTTTTGTAATGATCTGTTGACTTTCTTTTTTCGTGACACTTGTCTATTAACATAATTGACGTGAGTCTTATAGATTCATAGATTATTTATTTTTTATTTTTTATTTTGTTGACAGTATCACACAAAATATAGAGAGAGCCAAAAAAAAAAAGAAACACTGTGTAAAGTGTGTAACAAGTGAAAAAGAGAAAAAAAACTCGAAAAAAAAAAGAAAGAAAAAGAATTGTTTACAAATGTGTTGGATAATGATATTCATAATATTCTTCTCCAGTTCCAGTAGGTGTTGGTGATGTACTTGAACTTTTTATATTATGATGATGATGATTATTATTATTATTATTATTTGATGCTGATGCTGTACCATTTACTAATGGTGGTGTGACACGTTTTTCTTTTTGTCGTCGATTACAAAACCATACACGAACAACTTCTTTTTCAAGTTGTAATTGATTAGCTAATTGTGTTATATCTTGTGCTGCTGGTTTGGGATTTCGAGCAAAATGTAATTCAAGTGATTGTTTTATACTAATTTCAATTGATGTACGTTTTTTACGTTTACGTCCACTAGCTGCAATTTTTTCCATTGAATTTGTTGTACCTGTTTGTGATTCTGAATCTTCTAACCATTTAGCTAATAATGGACGTAATTTACACATATTTTTAAAACTTAATTGTAATGCTTCAAAACGACATATTGTTGTTTGACTAAATACATTACCATAAAGATTTCCAAGTGCAAGACCAACATCAGCTTGTGTATAACCAAGTTTAATACGTCGTTGTTTAAATTGTTTTGAAAAACGATTTAAATCATTATTATCAATATGTATTTGATGTTCATCATCATCATTATTATTAATATTTGTACGTGATTGTAAAAGATTTATATCATTATCATCAATAATATTACCTTGATTTGATGATGATGTTGCTTGTTGATTTGAATGAAAATGATGTTCATGATCATTTGGTGTTGTTGGAAGAAATTGATGATTTGTCATATAATTTGGATGATGATGATATGTTGATGGTTGATAATAATTTGATGGATTTGATGTCCAATAATCTTCAATTGTTAATGTATGTTGTTTATGTGGATGATGTTGCATAATAACAGGCCATGCTGTTGCTGATATATTATTTGTTGGACTTGTTGGTGATGGTGAAATACTTTTTGTATTTGAAAATAAATATGTATTTGTTGGTTTAATATCTGTTTGTTGTAAAACTAAATCATTTGTATTATTTGATGATGAATCTGATGATGCTGGTGGATAAAAAAATGTATTGGATGTTTCAAGATGATGTTGATGATGAAATGGATGAATATGATGATGTGTATGAATATGATGATGATGAAGTGCATAAGCTGCTGCAACTGATGTTGATGTTGGTGATGTTGACATGATTTAATTGAAAATATTAACAAGATAAGAACTATTAAAAATACAAAAAACAAAAACAAAAAATAAGTTAACACATGTTTTTTTTTTGTTTATAATAATTTCTCTTTCATGGATGATAAATTTTTGTTTTGATATGTTGATTACTTACCATTATTCTATTTATTCTTTTTTTCTATCAATCGAATTAATAATCAGATTTCAATTAGTATAAACTGAAATCGGTGCTTGAGAAGAAAAAGAAAAGGAATATAACACGACTATGAATCGTTGTATTATTTGAATATCAATATGGGGGTCAGTAGCACTGCTGTTTCGCGTGGATAATAATAATCAGTTTTTAATGCAAATGAAATTCAGATTTGCCGCCGTCCGATGCTTCTTCTGTCAAGGAGTCTTTTTTTTTCTTCTCTCTCTCTCTTTCGCTTTCGCTCCTTTTTCTTGTATGTGTGTGTGTGTGCCCGATGACAAGATAGATTCTTTTTTTTTTCTCTATATGCATGCACACAACAAGTGAAGAGAGAGTGAGCGAGGAAAAAACGGGTTGGTTGTTTGAAGAAGTAGAAACTCGAATTTTTTTGATTGGATAGAATGATCGGATTTTTTTTTTCTTCTTTTTCTTCTTTACTTGCTTTTCGTCGTTACCATTGCGTGATTGATGAATCTAATCGTATGTGTGTACACAAGACATTTCCTGTGTCGCACAACTATCGAACGATTGATCGATTGAAAAGACAAAAAAAAAAAGAAAAGAAAAAAAAATAATAGTAAAATACAAACATGTAGCAGATGGTCATATCAGTTGGAGATCGAACATTGCTAATTAGACAAGTCTGGATATATAACTAACAAAATTGAATTAGCTAGAGTTTTTCTTTTTTTTTT